CCCCTCAGACGTCCGTCTCTCTTGGGCCCGCGGGGCCTCTCCTGAGCAGGGCTCCACCGAGGCCGCAAGATGGCGGCGGGAGGCCTGGGGTGGGTGGTTGGTTTAGTTGGTGGGTTCGGCAGCACTGAGGAAAGACTCGCAGCCGTGCCACGCCTGTGTTAACCCGCTGAGGGAGCCGAGCGGCGCGTGTCGTGGCAAGGATTGAAATGGCGTGTCAGGCAGGGCTGCAGCCTCAGAGAGCCCCCCGAGCCCAGCAAGGCACGGGTTTTCCTCGGGCCCTGGTGGCTGTTCGTTCACCTAAACCTCACTGAAGCTCTAGAGAAGGCAGTCCTGTTAACATGGTTGTGCTTCCAAAACAGGGAGTTGGCTGGAAATGTTGCAGAATCTGTCACTTGGCCTTTAAACAGAGGCTCTTTGGATCGTGCTGTCCCGCTCGTAGGGTCTTGTATCGTTTCAGTTGTGGAAGCTGCCACAGTAATCTCCGTTCCTAATATATGAGAATATGCTTCTGTGAAACCTTCTTGTGCTTTGTCCAAGCCAAAGAGAAGGTAATGGAAAGAGGCGTTAGGTTTGAGTCCTGTTTGGATTCCATGACTATGCAGGAAATGCATTCTAATTATCTCCAGAGACCTTTGCTGAGGAATAAGAGAGCCTGCTTGTACATCCCTTCCCTTCTCTTTGTTCTCAGCTCTGCATTAGCTGGCGTTGACCAGGGTTGGGCGTTTTCCGCTTGACAATGTAGTCTCGGACAGTATCTGTCGGTGTAAATGCTGGCATGTTGTCTTAGTTGCATGTTCCAGAAGTAAGAGAGATTTGTTCCTCAAGATGAGAGACAGGGGATGTTTTGGATTCAGCTGGTAGCTTTCCCGGCATTTGATTGCTATCATATGTGGGATTTTCACCTGCCTCTGTTTTTAGACATGAATGATTATCAAGGCCATAACATCCTTCCGTTTGAAAGGCAGTTCCCCAGAAACAAAAGGAAACACGCGGTTTCAGATACCCTGCTGTGTATCTTAGACTCCTGGTGAGAAGTCGTTATGAAAAGCCAGCCCTTAACAACTGTTTTTGTGTCCTGTGGCTTTAATTTGTATCCAAGTGAAAGGGACAGACATGGAATTATAAGTATAACTTAACTATTTTAATAAATCTTATACAGTGAGTGCTTATATCATTTTATCCTTCGTTCAATTACAGTAATGTACAGTACATTATAGCGTTATCTGCAGGCAGTACAAATATAACAGATGCACAGCTCAGTCATATGGAAATTTTTAAAAGTGACTTCTGCAGTAAGGTCTACTGATATATTTATTTTACGAAATGCTCCCGTGGCTCCCAGCTTTACAGAACTGTTGTGTATGCTTCTATTGTAATCCCAAGTAACTATAATTGTGTGATTTGTTTTCCTTTACACTCAAAGACAAGAATGGTGTTGTGTTTCCTAGCTCACTATTTGTTTTTATTTTCATTTTAGAAATTATTTAGCCTCCTGTGCTTCTAACACCAATGGTTTGCCAGTATTCACACCTGCTTCCCATCTCCACCTTAATCGAGAGCCAGGGCTTCTCAGGAGGATTGTCCTCTTCATCCCTCCCTGACAAGGGGAGTGCCCTTTGCAAATTCCAGCCGCTGTGGCAAGCCAGCAGGGTCGTGACTGAAACCATGATCCTCTGTAAGTTCCCTGCTGCACCCTAATTCTGCTGGTGCTACCTATGTCCTATTTTGAGATTAAGAAAATATATCATCCATTAGAAACATTTTTGGAAGAACAAAGCCCAAATTGAGAGGTGCGTCAGTACCCTCAGATTTAGACACGTGTTCCCCAGCCGCTGCGTTACAGCTGTACAGGTCTTTCCATTAAATGTGCAAGGACAGGCCCAAATTCTGCAAAGACTTAGGCACGTGCTTAACCTGTAAAGGAGGTGGGACCATTCGCAGCCCTTTTAAAGGAAAGCACCTGTGTAGGTCTTAGGGGAGTCCGGGCCTGAATTCCCATTCAGCCAAAGTTAAGGTGCGTGAACGAGAGAGAAAGACAAAGTCTCCTCAGTCTGTGAGCAGTTCCTGTAGATGTGTTTGCTTTACTGTGTTCTGATCAAGTTGGTCTGTAAGTAAAATATAGATATAAATACAGCGTGTGCCAAACTTGCTGTGGCAGGAAGTCTACTGTATGCTTGCTTGAGCTTTTAAAACTTTGAGTAGATTATTGATGCATAATCACTGAACTGTGTCTCTAGGGAAAGGGATTTTTTTCTCATCCCAATTTATAGATTTTAAGAGCGAGGGGGTATTTCACTAGATGGATGTATACATATGCACGTAACGTTATTAACAAAAACAGGAAGTGAAGAACAACAGCCTCTCCTAAATGAATTATCTTTTTTCTTGTGGCCATTTGTTTTGTATTAAAACAGCCTTTCCAACTGTGCATTTGTTAGATATTTAGGAAGCATTTCAGATTACTCTCTGCAATGAAAATGTGAAGGTGGGGACAAGGGGCCGGCAGCTTGGGAAGGGCTTTGGGTGTGACTGGGTTGGGAGCAAATGGTAGAGGCTTAGAGTCTCCTTGTTTGAGGCTCGGTGCTGGCAATACTGCACCTTTCCGATGCAGGATCGGTGCCCTGAGCCCCAGCCTCGGGGCGTAAGCAGCAATGATCAGGCTGAGCTCACCTATGTGCAGAGTCAAATCCCTTCAGCTGTCGCTCAGATCCTGCTCACTGTGGCGCGGTGAAAGCCCGTGTCTGCTGTTCAACGACAGCGCTGACTGGTGCGGTGTTTTTAAGGACGCAGCCCAGACTTAGGTAACGTGTGTTGCAGTTCTAGTCTCGTCCAACGAGAGGGCATGGGGGGACAGAAAAAGGACAGTGAATTGTCACCGGGCCTTTGCTAGATGGCTGCAGGGGAGATCTGCCACCGAGAAGGAAATGAAAAGTGGGGGGAAAGACTTTTTTCCGTGGTCCAGACTCTAAATGTTCAGGCTGGCTTGTTCTGTGCTGTGTGCCGTGCCCTCTGTTCCCGAGCCGCGCCGGCGAGGGCGGTGGGAGCAGATACAGCCCTTTGAGAAAAGCTTTGCAGCGTCTTTTTTGCTTGAATCCAGCCACTGCCGTACATTCAGACACGTGTGAATTCTGCTCTGCTCTGATCACATGCACATAAAATTTCAGTATAAAATACATAGTTATAAAAAAAAAAATACTTCATGCAATATTAAAACACCTTTCCCAATGGGACATGGTCTTACTGTCTACCCTTATCAACAGTGTTCGAGAAATTGTGACTTTGATGGCATTACACTGGTAGGTGTGGAGCACTGCTGTCTCTTGCCTGGACTGGGGATCATTGCTTTCATTCCTTTTTTCTGCACTACTATGACTAATAGCTGAAATAAAGCAGATACATTTTAATTAGCGGAATCAATCCTTTCCTGGCGACGCTTCATGATTTCTTGGAGCTCTGACTCCCCTCTGTTTTTCTAGAATGGAAACAAAACAAGAAGTTTGAATTTTAACTTCAAGCTGTAGTTAAATTATAATATTTAACTAATGCTGTAAGAGTAGAGCTAGTTTCCAAGGGGTGAGTGGTAAGGGTAAGAAGGCAGATTCGTTGGAGGAGACGGGGTGATCTGCCTTACAGATTTGGGGCTTTTTTCCTTAAAAAACTTCTCAATGTTTTTAGGTGGTGTGTCTTTTTGATTGTGTGGTTTTTGGTTGGGTTTGTTTTGTTTTGTTGTTTTAATTGTGTTTCTTAAGTGTCTGTTTAATGAGTTATCTGACACTGCTGGCACAGGCACCCATTCAGGTAGGAGTTGTCCCGAAAGCTACTTACCTCCAGTTGGTTTTTCTCCACTGTGATTTTACTGTATACTCTGTTTCCCTCATCACCACACACTTTCTTCAGCTCCTCTCTGTTGAGGGAGAAGAGCTGAGCTCCAGTAAGGATGCCAAGGTGTTCCACTGTCCTGGGAAGACACAAAGTGAGGAGATGATAATTGTGCTACGCGTGGCCTCTTGCCAAAGGTGAGGAGTCAGAGATGATGGGGCTAGGAGCAGCTGAGGTGCAGCCCCTGTGCCAGGACCCTACCGCATGCAAGGCCCTGGGGCTGTGCCAGGGTGGCAGCTGTTGGGTAACCCACGCTCTTGGCAGGGCTGACAGCAAGCCACGAGGCGCGGGTGAAGCCAGCGTCACCCTGCCATCCACTGTGTACCCAGCCCCACGGGTACTGCAGTGATTCCACTCCAGTTGCGTCGCACTGGGAAGCAATCCTGGAGCTCCTCGTAGCTCGCTGGGCAGAGCGCGAGTTGTAACCCATAACCCTTGACCATGTGCAGCTTTTTGGTCCTTTACTAGGGGCCGGGATTTGCTAGCCCTGGCTGAGGGCTCTCCTTCAGAGATACTTTAGGACAGCTGCTCCAGAGCCAGGCAGTCATCTGGAATTTGCCTTTCAGGCCATGGGTTTAGTTAGTTAATTAGTTATTTTTCTTGAAGTTCAGCACTCCGAACTGGCTAACTGGGGCCAGGCAAGCACCAGTGGTAGGACGCTGTGCAGCGTTTGGCTGCGAGTCGTGTGAATAAGCAAGACCGTTCCGTTATTTGCAGCTACTCATTAGGTCTTTTGCTGCACTGTAAGGCAAGGTTCATTTGGTAGTGCATAAGACAGAAAGGGAGTAAGTTTGGGCTCTGAATGTACTGGTTATATAGCCTGGATTTAATATGATTGAAATCTAATTTGCAACACAGTCTCTGAAAGTAAATACAAGTGACTTGTAATCCAGTTGAAATGTTGCAAGCTGCCTCCCCCGCTCCTTTTAAAAGGAAGGCCCAGCATTTCATGCGGTAGTGAAGCAGATCTTACTCTTTGCTGAACGACTTTGCCTCCAGCCAGGCTTTGACTTCTTCAGTGCTGGATTCGAAGGTGAGGGGCACAAAAACCTGCTGAGGCTTTTCCACTTTGAAATTCCTCTGGGGGGGCTGAATTTTATTGTTTGTGATCTTCTTTATCAACTCGTCGTTCAGCTCGTCCATTTGATGAATAAGTTCTGGGGAAACAAGGCACAAGGTAGAAAGCAGTGAAATCGACTCTTCAGTCACAAATCCTGTTAAATTAACGTGTTTGTGGGGAATTTGTAAGGAAGATCAGAACGTGGCTTAGCATTTTTATTAACTCTGTAAATACACTAAAGGAAAGTGCTTACTTTTGTATTTTAGTTTTAAAGAACCAGCTGAAGTGTTTTTAGAGCAATAGGTTGAGCGATGACATTTTGATCTTCAAACTTCCATCAGAAACAAATGCGTAAAGGGAGACTGCCGCGGTTTTGGATGCTAACAGACTGCTGGAGCAGGTTGGGAAAATCTCACTGTTCCTCTCAAGCCAATACTCTCAACTTCCTTCAGCTTTTGCAACCTCGCTTTCTCTTTGGGAGAAACCTAGATTTCTGCAGTTCTTCTCCAGAATGATGGAGAGGAGGAATCACAATGTAACAGCCAAATGCTGCTTGTGCACACCAAATCGAAAAAGCTGCCTGAGGGTTCCTTGCAGCATGACTGACCCCTGGGACAAGCACTGCATGTCTGAAGGTTTGGCCTCATTGCTGCAGCAACATCCATTAGCCTAACTGGAGACTCTTGGAACAAGTGCTGCTGTTCTGGGAGAAAGGAAATCTCTGGTTCCGATGCTGACCAGCATCGATACAGCTGTATAATTTCTAGAGGAAACTGTGTTCTCTGTCGTGGTAGATACCAGCAGACTCTGAGCTGTCTCATTTAATAAGCACATATTCCCCAGTCCATGATTAACTGAGTAGAGATTGGTCTGGTGTGAAAAAGGAGAGCTCACATCTGCAGAGGCACTTGCTTTCAGCCAGCAGGAGCAAAACTACCCATCAGTCTGCCTGGAAAATTCTTCTTCAGAAGCACTGATTGGGGGGGAAAGTGTGTCACATTTGGCAACATAATAGGAGAACCTTTTGGTAAGAACACATCCATTTTGTGTGGCTGGTGTCTGTAGCAGGTGCTGATAGAGACCTGTAATATTCACCCATTTTCTATACAATTTTATATTGGCATCGATCTTATTTCCTGTGTTGCTAACCTAGCCTTTTCATCACACCTCATTCAAAGGACATAAACCCTTGCAACACCAACTAGCAGAAGTTTGCTAAAGGGTGTAAAACCTGATCTGGCAGTGTCTTTGCTTCCACTGGTGCTGTCAAGAGGTGACAAGGAACAGGGTCCCTTTTCCCTGATGTCTGGTGTTGCTGTTGCGTTTTTGCTTTAGTTTGTCATCTTCCTGTTTTTGAGTTACTTAGTTCCCTTTGGGCTATTGAAATAAGGAAATTGCCCTGCAAACTTAGCAGCAGGGAGGGGGAAAAACCTAGACCGCATGAGACAGCGGAGGTCAGGGAGGCTCGACTATCTGTTTCTGAGTACAAGGTTCCCATTTTTCTGTGGCCCTGTGTTGCCGTTTATTTTCTTCTCATTGCCCCTTCGCTGTCGCCTGGTGTGGAAGGCCAGTTGTGTGAATACCTACAATTAGAGTCTTGGTTTTGAGCTGTAGCCCTGCCCCCTCTACTTTTCAGTGCTCTCTGCTACTTCTAATAAGCAATTTGCTGATCTAAGTCCTCAGAGCTCCAGCTTTTGCTGTGCAGCTAAACAGAAGTGGCAGGAAGCATAAACTGGGAGTAAGCAGCGCACTCATAAAACTCCAGTGACGCATCACCTAGTATCACTTTTTCCATGAAACTCCTGAAGACTGTGGAGAATAACTCGGTGTTATTAATAGATACGTGTCCGTGATGCTCGTATTAGGAGGCTTTCCGCTGTCCCCAAAGGGCTCCGGCTTCCGGGAGTCCCCAGTAGCTGACCAGGGGATGAACCCCGGTTTTGGCCTTTGGGAGACAGCTTGCTACAGGTGTAGTGAGAAGGGGGTGAGGTGAGCAGGCCTCCTCGTCTTTCTTGTGTGCTGTGACCCCGCATAGCATGTGCAGGGTGAGGGAGTGATGTGAATCTCAAATTTGGCAGATCTGCTGGCTGGGATTTCTCTGAAACTGCTTGAAGGAACAGGCCAGATGGAGACTGCATGTATGGCAGGAGACGAGAGCAAAGGAAGCAAGAGAAAGGGATTGACCTGAATGTGGGTGGCTGCTTAGACAGACTTGAACATGTTAGCGGGGTAAAGAAACTCTCTTCTTGGGAGGAGGAGGAAGGTCAAGCTGGAAGGAGGGTTAAGGTGATCACCTTGTTGCCCTCCTTGTCCCAGGCTGCCCGAGAGCCCGTGACATGAGTCAGCGAGCTCCTCAGGGCTGCTCTGTTGGCTGTGGTACTACCTGAAGCCTCCTCTGTACATCTCCAAAACCACTGCTGGGCTATTGTTTATCACTAAAAGGTGCAGCCACTCCTTGTGTGGAGCCTTACGAGAGGGAACGCACCCTTGGGTAGCTCTCGTTACATGCACACAGCAACCAAAAATAGTGGACAGACCATTATGGTGAAAGTGAAGAAAGAAAACCGAGACAGAGAGCAAGCAAAAAGCATGTGCTCACAGAAACTTTTCAATTAAGTCCTGAAACGCAACGCCGCGGTGCCAGGCTCTCTGGCTGCCTGAGGCTGCTGTGTGTGGTGTGAAAGGTGCCCGGAGCGCGGTGTGGGACACGTACGTTCTTTGGCGTCCTGGGGAGAGCTGCGCGATAGCATTTCGCTTCCCCATTTGTCCCCAGCGTAGCTGGCAGGTAGCTTGTGAGTTGGGCTGGATGGTCCGTAGCCCCTGGGGCTCAGGTCTCCTTTGTACCTCTGGTTAGATTAGGTGATAAGAAAGGGGAAAAAAAAAAGTGTAAGATTTTTTTTTTTGCTGTTTTTCATTTTCTTAAACTTTTTGCCTCCCACCCACGAGAGCAAATTGAGGGACCAACTGCCATGTTCTCCCCGTGCTGATCCGGGGCCACTCGGCTGAGGCTGATGTGAGCTCAGTGGGAGCTGCACGGAGCAGGTTAATTTCTGGGGTCTCGTGGGAACGAACAGAACCCCCAGCAAAGGCCGAAGACTGCGGGAAGGCATTTACACCCTGGAAAGCACCTCACGCTCGTCGCACGGAGGGCAGCGGTGTTTGACACTTGCTTACTACTGCTGTGGATGACTGCTCTCACATGTGTGACTCAGCTCTTCAGCCCTTTGCTGTGCAGAAATTACTGCTCGTAGGACTTCCTCGGAGATGGAGAGCAAGGGAAGCAGGAGGGTTTTTATGTAAAGAGGAAGCAAACCGAAATCCCATTTGAAGCTAAAGCATCATTGCCCTAGTAACTGGATGTTGAGTGGGCCCACCGCCAAGTGCCTGGAGCAGTCTGGAAAGAGTTGTTTCACATTTTGATTAAACTGACAGGGCTTTTATCCAGAGCCCTGCTGGGGCACCTTATGCTTTGCCCAAGCTGTGAAATACCAAAGTGGGGAAGGAATTCTGTGCTTCCGTAGGGCATTCAGAGCTCTCCGGCTCCACATTCTTGCAATGCAAGGTGCTTGAGAGCAATATTCACTTAGTACTCACTCAGATGATATTTCCATCTGCCTGCACTCCAGTAACGTGTTCCTGCTGCTGAACTGAACTGGAGGAGGGAACCGTCTGTGTTTAATTTAACCCCCAACAAAAATGTCAACATTTTCACAGCAGAATTTGCTTTTATGGCTGTGTTATCTCTTTCATCCTGTTCACAGCACAGCCCTGAAAGCAGCAGGGTTTTGCAATAGAGGAGGTGGTAAACCGTAGGCTGAGAAGTACGTGGGGTTGGGGGAGAAGGCACTGGCAAAAAGTGGAACTCTTTCAAGCCACTGTAGCCAGCAGCTGTTTGGTGACATCTCAACATGAGACCTTTTCTGTTGGGATGACAAATCATGGTGCTAGGCTCGGGGTGGGTGTCCCTTCGAGCTAGGGTCTAGCTTCATAGCAGGCTGCTGCCTGTAGCGCAGGACTCAGCCTTCACCTGTCCCAGAACCCTGCCTGCCAGGCACTGTTGGCAGCAGGCAATGTGCTTGGCGTCTCAGAGCAGGGGGAAAGTATGAGGCTGCCATGCGGGTGGGAAGGATAGGCCTTGTTTGGGGAGGGGGAAGGTAACTGGCAAAATTTGAGAGTTTTATCATAGGAGGCTCAGGAATCTCCAGGATCTTGGTTCATCTGCTGGTGAGGGTTCATCCTGACTTGTGCACAGCATGCTAAAAAATCCAGGGAGGTCTAACTACAACATTATTTTCAGAGGCTGATTATGCCCTGCAGCTGGCTACCAGTTAAATATCACCTGGCTACAGACCTGTTCGAGCTCTTCCAGTTTCACCACATCCAGGATATTATAAGGGACGTAACCAGCCTGCCCGCTCCGGTTGAGCAGCTTCCACCACTGCTTATTATCTTCCAACACCTGAGAGAGGGGGGAAAAATGTTTGCTAGCAAGAACATCAGATCTCTAGCACATATAAGTGGCATACAGTGGAAATAAACGGCACAGTAACATGAAGTTGTCAGAATAAGATCACTGAGGCCAGGAGCTGGCAAATAGATCTGTTGCACTCATTTGCAGTTCCTGACAAGCATCAGCACTTATCCTCATGGGGAACAGGAGAGCATCTCTGGGGGAAAACAGACCTGGGGTGCTGAAGGACTCGTAGTTCCTACTTAATTTGCTTGTTTCTCCATCTTCTTTGTTTCTTTTCAGTGACTGAGTTTGTGTTGTCTTTTTGCATTAAAAAAAAATAAATCAAGAGTGACTCCTGCCAAAGATGCCGGAGTGTTGTCATATAACTTGCTCACGTGTCACATCATCACATGTAATCTGATCACATCAGAACCATGGGGTGGCAAGGAGCCTGCCTGTTGCTGAGAGATCTCCTGTTGCACCTGCCCCCCTGCTCATCTGAGCAGGCTTGTTTTTACACAGAATTGTGATTTTTTTTTTTTTTTCCTAAAGTAATCTTCCTAGAGTGTATGAGCTTTGCTGGCAAGACCCGCAGACGTTTTCATTCCAGCTACATTTTGAACAGAGCTTTGAGTTTTGAACAGAAGTCTTTTTCTCAAGCCATAGGTCTGTTGCAGCGAGTGTGTAGACCAAATCACGTCCTACATTCTCCAGCTGCCAACAGTGTTGCAGTAAGAGAAAGGTTACGAAAAAGGATGTTTTAATAGAAAAGAATTCCTTTGGGGGTGGTGGGGTGGTAAAATGACCATATGCCCAGCAAGTGGGCGAGCAGTGCTCTACGGTGACTTGTTTTCCTTCCTCCCCATTGCTGATTAAGCTGTGACTGATGTGTTTCAGCTGAGCAAATGACCCAATGCACGCAGTCAGCCTGATCCAGCTCAGATGTGAAGCTTTAGATTTGAGCAAAGCTTTGGAGCTGCTCAGAAACCACCAAGAGAAAATGAGTTTGCCCTTGCCAGTATCCTGCCATCTCCCTGTGGTTCCTGGAAAGGGGAGGGGGGCACACCTTCTCCCCGAGCGTGTTCACGTACCTCCAGGATTTCATCCTTAAGCACTGAGAGTTCATTGGCATTTCGCGCAGTGAAATCGTAGCGGATTTTGGCATATCTCTTCGGCGGAGCCATTCCCTGTGCCTCAAAATTCCTGCAGGAGGTAAAAAAAAAAAGGGAGTTTTAATGGAGGCCCATCTAATAACTAGGACAATGTAGGTTCACTGGCAAAAGAGGAGCGGTGAAGACTGTGTGCCAGTGCACGTAGTGAGACAACGGTGTTTCTGTTAGGAGGGGGCAGTGCCTCTTTGCTACTCTATTTTGAGGAAAATTTCCACGCCTTGTTTTAGTGAAACAGCCTATGTTTGGAAAAAATAAAAGGCAAAAAAAAAAAGCTGTAGGGCTGTTTAGTTAGTGGCCTTATTGGGAGACTGTGGGGCTGCTGCTTTCAGGGTGGGAGAAAAGACTTTTCCCCCTGCCAATTGCTCTTTGCTGCAGCAAGGACTGGGGAGACTGGCAAGGCACCAGCAAAATGCTCTGATTGCACCTCCTGTGAAAAGCAGTGTGAAACCCTCATGTCTTGATAAGTGGAAACAACTGCCCTACATGCTAGAGCAGGGGAGAAGCAGGCACCAGTGCTTGGAGAAAGGGTGTTGAAAACCAGTGTAGGTAGCACTGACTGGACATCTGTGGTTTTTTCCTCAGGCAATGGATGCTGAGCTACTGAAGCAGAATTCTGCAGGTTCTCAGGAACAGTAAGTTTGAATGTTTCTATTCTAAGATACATTTGGGGGGAAGAGGAATGTGTTTGAGTATTTTGCTTAGGAATTTCTGGTACAAGAATATACAGCTTTCAATGTTGAATTGGCTTCTTTTGGAGAGAGAGACAAAATAAATATGGTAGACTGTCAAAAATGGAAAATGGTGAAAAAGTGGAATGAAAGATTTCTTTTGACCTGAAGTGGCTTATTTTTTTCATAGTTTTTTTTGCCTGGCTTAGGAAAATTTTTCAGATCTCGTCTTTTTCTTCTCTAGTTAAGACGGGTGTAGTGTTATTTTTTTAATTCCAAAAATGTTTGCAGTGTGGAAAAACTGTCTTGCCTTGTTGTGTAAGGGCAGGTAGGAGCTATTTTAATGCACCTTCTGTGGATCTTTCTGCTTGTGACTTGCAACTGGCACAGCTGCCTGGTGCAGAAGCCTCCCGGGTGCCGTGTTCACAGCGGGCATGCTGACAGGGGGTCACGTTCTTCTCCAGTTTATGTCGAGCTCTGTGTAACTCGGTGAAGCCAGTGCTTCCAGCATGGCTAGCAACTATGGTTTTTAGCCTGATGTTTTTCCGTTGCTGAGTTCTTGGGGTTGGTCAGTAATTTTTAAATCTATGATCTGTGGAAACTCAGCTCTTTGTGGACTGCTTCTAAGGCATCTGTAAAACCTGGCTTTGAAAAGCAAGCCTGTGATGTTAAGTTTCAGTTCATTTTACTGTCTTCATTGGATGACTTTTGGTGGTCTGAAAAAGGTTGAAACCACTGGTTCAGTGGTTTGATATCGTGCCTGTGGCTGTACTGTTGTCTTTAGTTTGCTTGATTTGGGACAACTCTTGGTCTAGTTACAGCCATGTGCAATATGTAAGTCATAAGTCTGCAGAGGGGGAGAGCTCAGAGCAGACTCTCAGGCAGATTGAATCCACCAGTCAAGAAAGGGAGTGGTGGCCTTACCCAGCATTGCCCTGAAGGCAGGGAGGGGGAGGAAAGCTGAGTTAAGTAGAAATTACTTCTTCTGTAGCATTCCAGAAGGTAAATGAGTCCTGAGGAAGGAGGTGACAGCTGGAGGAGTTTGAGGCTAATGTGTACTTTGCATGCACCTAGGTTTTACACAAGCGACCTTTGCTGACTATTGTAATATTGCTTGGGGCTTTCTTGATGCTTCTCTGCAGCCAAAAGCCCATAATAATACTGATGCGTGGGTATTTTTGTTAATATAGGGTCTCTTGGTTAGAAAACTAGTTCAAACTACCCTGAAAAAAGCATGAGTACAGCAGGAAATATGTCTGTCCCAGGACTGTGATCTTGGCAAACGTCTGGGCAGACTTGGCTGAGGTCTGCTCTGGACCGAAGAAAGCGTCTAAGCACATTCTCAACTTTAGCATCTGCTTCAGTGCCCTTAACGTTGATGTGTTTTTCTTAAATGTTATCCATAAGGAGAACTTGCTGTTGATGGTCTGAAAGGTAGGTTAAAATGTACACCCCTATCCCAGGAGAAGAGATCCTCATCTGCTCTTCTGTGAGCCCACCCTGTACCTAGAGTGGGTGTAGTCTCAGGGAAGCAGTCCCCTTGGTGAAAAGTCATGCTGCTAACTTGTGTTCCAGGACTCGACACCACTATTTATAGTCTGCCTGTGCTGAGACGAACAGGTGAAAATGTGTGTGTTACCTACCAGTCACTAGAGATGGACTGAAACATTCTCCTTATTTTTCATAACCTCACTGAGAAAAATTGGAGAAGAGAATTTGTTATCATGATTCTTTCCCTGCTCAACACTGCATTTGTACCATTTTATGGTCCCACCAGGACCTTTGATGGGGTGAATGGGAAGAGTAAGTTATTTCACTGATATGATTGGTTTTAAGGTATTTTACTGTGAATTTGAACTTGTTTGTAGTAGTAGAGCTTATAGATCTTTTAGATTAGAACATAAACCCATGAAAAAACAGTCTAGCTTGAAGATTTTTTCCCCATTCTAGAGGTGGCTACAGAAAAGTGCTTGGTTAAGTGTTTTACTAGGTTTGGACTTCCACTCTTTAAAGACCTGAAGTAACTTCATGTCAAATCACTGCAAAGGGGAGTATGGCAGAGAATTCATTTGCATTTTTGGAAGAGTTGGTTGAAGCTCAGAGATCTTGGGCAAACTTCAAAGGCATAAGCCCATGGAAACAAGCAAGCAGATGAAAAGCCTCTAAACTTTGAACCAAAAGTACTTTCATAAAGACTTTATGCCACTGAGTAACTGGTGACAGAAAACTAGCAGCAAGGCAGAGTGTTTGGTTAAATTGTGAAAGAGTCATCTTGGAAAAAAGGCAAAGGGGTGGCCTGGCTGGTTCTGGCTTGGGAACCGAGCTTTTGGAGCCTTCTGAAGAAAGGGGAGGTTTTTCCCCCCACTTTCTGGATTGATCTCATCAAGAAGAGTTGTCTGAAATCAACGCCCTGTCAGTCTCCCGGTGGAGAGATAGGCAAGGCCAGAAACACCTTCTCCTCTCAGTCAGCCTCCAAGAAATGCTTTTCCCTTTGGTTGTAACTGAAAGCAAAAGGAGGAGCCGCTGGCTCCAGTGAAACAAAATGGCAGCGCCTCAGTTAAAATGTTTTCCATGGGGTGCTGCTGAGCTGGGGCTGCTCTTTCCCAGCGCTGCCTTTTTGCGCAGCACAAAGCTTGCGTGGGCTTCTGCTTTAGGACAAGTTCTTCCCACGAGCAGGTTCTCTCTGTGAGCCGTTGTGCTGTAGGATGAACGCAGAGATGCTAACTTCTCTAAACGTGTGGAGACCGCAAGCGCAGCGCAGTATCTTTGGCGCGTGATCCTTAATATCCCTTCGGTGGGCTGGTGCTCTGAAACAAGACACACTGGTCTACTAATGAAGTCAGTCAGTATTTTTGCTTCTTGTGGTGGAAAACACACGTTAACCCGTCTCTGTGTAGATGTGCTGGGGATTAAAAAGCAGGTAGTGTTTACATGAATAATCCCTCGTCTGATCTTTAAATTCTCTTGATCTTGTTAACAAGTCTGAATTAATGATGGCAGAGAGTTATCTGCCAGGATGCCAAAACATCCCCGTTGCAGCGTGTATTTGTGAGGTTCCGAGGCGGGAGCTGCGGTGCCGTTGTGCCGGGCGGTGCTGGTACGTTACCTGTTCACATGCTGGGTTACGTTCTGTTTGAAGGCATCCACAGCTTGGGTCTGGTCAGCGGCCTGGCCGCGCTTGAGTGAGGAGCTGCGGTAAGGGTACCCGTTGGCTAATGACAGCTGGAAAGGCAAAACCGGAGTCAGTGTTACCAGGGAAGGGGAAAGGTGGATGGGAGGAAGGGAGAGTGATAGTGGCAGATGAATCGTGGCCTGGAAGCGTGTGGCCACGGTGAGGTGCAGACCAGAGAAATGTTCGTCAGGCAAACCTATACCCATGGGGCTCAGTTACGGTATAGTATCCTATTTCTTGTCGATTGGGAGGTGAGGCTGATTATTGCTGCCCTTTTCTGGCCTTATTTTCTTTCTGTATTTAACTGGAGTGACCAGATCCAGCTGAGTTTTGAGCTGCCTGCTTGTTACACACCACTGCAAACTCCACAGATCCATCACTCACTCTGAAAAAGGGGGAGGGAGAGGGAGAAGAAGAAAAGACAACCAGGGGCACACGACTAACCTCTTCTTGCAAGTGTCCGATGTCTATTTCCCAGGGAGCTCCGCGGAAGATTTCGATGGGCGGTTCCCAGCCATTGCGGAATTTGGGGATGTAGGTGGGGATGTTTGCTTCTCGGGGCCATTCAGCTCTGGGACATGAAGCGGGGAATATGCAGTGAGATTCCCAAGGAACGCGTCTCTGAAAGCGCGTCAGGGAGAAGCAGGGGCATCAGAGCGCCCTTGACCCTCTGACACGGCTACAAAGTCAAGCACCCTGCCTGCCTTTCTCGAGAGTTTGGGGGACCTGGTGAGATGGCAGCTCTCTCCTCACCTGGATCTGGTCCATGCCTCTCCCAGGGAGTCCCAGAGGTTTATCTCTTTCGGTGTCAGGTGTCCTCTGAGGAAATCTGTGGCGTCTTTAGAAAGAAGTGGGCTGACAATAGACCTGGCAAGCTCAGGGCCACCACAGCTACTGACGACCTGGATTGCACACAAATATGAGAGATTTTGCAGGAAATGTTCAAAATATCAAACCAGCACAGACACAAAGGAACAGAAATCAAAGACAGAAAAATCAGTAGCTCCGATCCTTTGGCATCTCTATGCCTGCTCACTCCAGAGGAAGCCAACGTACCCTCCATGGTGAGCACCTCTAAACCCAGGGTAATTCACATTAGACTTTCCCTTCCAAAGATCTCCTCTGTGCCTTTCATATGTGAGGGTGAGGTTTTGCAGTGCAGATGAACTAAGCCAATGGTTTGGTGTCACCTGAAAGGGATGCTCTATTCCCTCGGCATTCCCTTATTATCCTTGCACTGCACTGATAGTACTGGATTGGCAGACTTTATTAAGAAAAAGCAACTGGCTCTTGCTGGCAGCAGCTAATTCCTAGATCAGCTCAGCTGTTTCAAGAAACATCAACCTAGACCTTTGAAGGAGACTGGACAGTTCAGAGGAACACAAGAATTTTTCCTATTGGCGTCAAAGCAAGGTCTGATCTAAAAATGAGCTGTTGTTAGAGACAGGATACATCGCGAGCTGGCGCTTTAAGAAATGGAAAATCACTTGGTAGTTCAGTGTCCCTTCTGGCTTCTTTTTCAAGTCGGGATTTCTTCTTCCTATTTTCAGTGCAAACATTGAGCCATGTTTGCTGGAAGGTGAGCTCAGGCAGGTTCCCAGCGGGAACCATGGTTGGCTTGCACTTCTGTTCACAGTGAGTCTTTGTTAATGGGGTGGGAAGTTTCATATTTGCCAGGGTTTGTGTATTTAGTTCAAGCTGGAAATCAAATCAGAGGCCAGAAACAGTGGTGGTGTTGCTGCTAGACTTTAGTGAGAAAGCTTTAGCCAGTTGTGAGCAGTCTTCTGACTCTTCTGTATAACCTAGCTGCCTGTAAGCGCGAAAGCAGCGTTTGAAAGGAGGAGTTCACAGTGAAACCTGTGAATACGGCTTACCAGTTCCAGCGGCCCAAAGAGGAAGTGCACCAGCTCGGAAGCGCTGGGGTTCTGGATGTGCTTTCTCAGTTTTGCCTGAAGGGAGAAAGGAAACACAGTTTAATCCTAACCTGATTTTGGTTTCTCTTTCCATGGAGGGGTTGTTGCTGACGGGTATTTGCTACAGTTAATAACAAAGTCTGAAAAGTAAGGAAACGTTCAACGGTGCACTTGAAATCAGGGAAGAACAGTAAGTGATTGGGGAGTAGGAATCATTCAGTTTTAGATCATTTCTATTTTGTGTCCGTTTCTAAGAGCACTGAATTTCAGGAGGAGTGGTGTACCTACTCTGTTAAAATCGGTCCCTTTGAAGCTATTTTGAGCAGAAGCAGAAAACCTTGGCTTATTTTGAAGGTCTTGGTGAGGAAGGGCCGGGCCTATTGCTTCTGACTCTTGTGAAGTTGAAAATCCCACTAGTTCCCATAAATGAAAACACCAGAACAAGAGTTTTGCATGGTCCTTTGGCAAATTGCAGACACCGAGGTCTTGTCTGCACTAACTAGAGCTGCCCTGGCCACTGAAGCGCTCGGTATTTGGAATAGACTGAGGTGGGGTGGAAGAGCAAGTGCTTAGGATTACTTTACTGTGAGAACTGCGTTTCATTAACAGCAATCAGCGAAGCTGTGGTGAGAAACCACTTCAGTTTGTGCTTCCTTTCAGCTCCTTCTTGTGTCATGTGCTACTGGCATTGCTGCAACGGAAAACAGACTCCCTCCTCCCCACCAAAATGCAAAGCATTTTAAATGCCAGTGATTAAACATTAATGTGGAGTGAAAAGTGTGAGATAACTGGTGGCAACAAGGTGACTAAATGAAATGGCACAAGGACTTTGCAGCCATGTGGCACGTGGTAGCAGTGCTGGGGCAGCCATGGCAGTGCTCCACTGCGGATTCCCTGCTCTCCTCCTTACTTGCCCCTGGCCTCTTGCCGGGAGATCAGCTGCTCTTTGTGGATATGTGGACAGCGAAGTGCAGGGAGAGCTCAGGCACGTGAACGAATTTCCTCTGTGTTGGCTCCCATGCTGCTAACAGGGGAGCAGCAGCGGTGCTGAGCTCGGGGGCTGCGTGCCAGAGCGTTTGCACAGATCCGCACTTGCGGCTGCATTGGGCAGTTGGCAGCGTCCGGGGCAGGACACGAACTCCAGCGCAGTCCTGTGCTGTGACGAAGGGTTTGCCTGACCGCACTGACTCCACTATATTTATCTCAGCTGCGTGGTCAGAAAGGGCCACGATGCAACAGCCTGGCTGGGATTTCTTGGTGCTTGGAGAATCCTCAGCTGTTTCTGCAGGGAAGCTGACATCCGCTGTGGGACGTGTGGCGGGGCGCCTGGTCGGCTTGTGCGAGAGCAGTGATTGCTGGCCAGAGCTGCCACCTCCGAGACTCAGTTCTGGTCCTGAGCAGGCAAAAATGTGTGCGTATTGGCTTCTAAAAGAAAAGGCTGGAGCGTGGTGTTAAGGCTGTTTACAACCTCTGTGGCTTCCTTACAACTTCTCGGGAAGGATCTTGTTAGGCCGTGCTCGCTGGGTGGGTTTGGTCAGAACTGACAGAATTTCCTTCTGGCTCGTTACCCTCCTGGTCTTGCATACTTCACCGAGCGGAGCTGGCAGCGCTGGGAACATCTTTATGCTTCTGCTTGTTGTCCCCTTCTTAAGACGGCAGCTTCTCCAGGGGAGAAAGAGAGAAGCCAGGAACCTCAGGGCAGTGGGGACATCAGTTACTGCTAACCAAAGGCTTTCCAGGCCCCTGGCTGAAGCAGCTTTACAGCTGCACTGTAGACAGAACTGGATGAGAACAATTTAAAGGAGATAAGACTTTTTTTTCTTTTTTAATATTTGCAGTCCTCTGTTTTATGCCTTGTAAGGATAACAAGGACTGCAGCTCTTGGAAAATTGCCCAGACTTTTAAAGGCCACAAGCAGAAGTGAGTATCTGGAGCAGGGTTGTCTGTATAAGCTTTTGCACAGCTATCAGCAAGGTGGGCAGGGCAGCTCTTGGCTCTTTTAAGCTCACAGCTTCACAAATGCTGTAAGCCAGGACTGTATCTGAAAAGAGATCCAGGCATTGCAAGGCCCCTGGCTGCTCAGTCCCATCCTGGACTTTAAGCTTCTAGTTTCAGTTTAACAGCTTGGCCCAAGAGACCTGCACAAGCCTGACACAGTGTTTGTTCTGGATTCTGAAGAATCTGGAACTCACACCTTTGTCCCTTGATAGTATTTTCAGTTTAAATTTCACTTTAAATACTTGCTACTGTGGTATATGGGGAAAAAGCCCAGTCACTGCACGGGGCGATAACGCCCTCTGTGTCTTACCAAGAGGTTAAAAGCCAGTTTGGTCTTCTGGAAGCAGTCGATGAACTCGGCCTCACTTGGGGGCCTTGCTCGAAGAGTCAGCATGCCCTCTGTTATGAGAAGGTAGAGAAACACACTTGAATTAGAGCATCCCTTTTCAGGAAAGTTTCATCTTGCTGGCATGCAGAAGACATAGCAATAAAGGGTGCTGATACTAGAACTACTAAAAATAAAGGGTTCAAGAAAACTGAAACTCTTTCTCTGTGTTGGCAGCTTCACTAGGCTCTGTGTGCACTACAGGAGGTCCCCACAGACCAGCAGCACCTTCCAGACTGGTGTAGCTGCTGTTGGGTCCACAGCCATGCTGCTGCATCAACCTGGCTTTGCTGGGGTGTGAGCTGAGGTCTGCTCCCAGCCTTGATCCGTGCCCCCGTGTTCCCTGTTTGTTCTAGCTGCTGCACTGTACCTGCTGGCGCTTTCTTCTTGTTCTTCTTCCCTTTCTTCCTCTGGTTGAGCTGTTTGAATGCCTCTGCAGCCTTCTGAAGCCTGGCGACAAACACTTCGATGTCATCCAGAGTGCAGTTCAGGATTTGCTGCGAGGACAGAAATGCAGTGAACCATGGTGAAAGAGAGCCCGCACGGCACGCACCTGGGCAGCCGAAACCCAGAGCACACCGCCCTGTGCCTGCTTCATTTCCTGGAAGAATGCACAGGAGTGGGGAACCCAGGCATGAAATTGAGCCGAATTCATCACTGTCCAAACAAACAAAGCTGTGCCTGATTGTGTGCTATACTTGCCAGTATACCCCATCTGCAGTTCTGTGTCCAGTGCTGGGCTCCCCACTTCAAGAAAGATGAGGAGCTACTGGACAGAGTCCAGCGGAGGGCTGCGAGGATGAGGAGGGGACTGGAGCATCTCTCCTGCGAGGAGAGGCTGAGGGAGCTGGGCTTGTTCAGCCTGGAGAAGAGAAGGCTGAGAGGGGACCTTAGAAATGCCTCTAAATATCTGCAGGGTGGGGGTCAGGAGGATGGGGCCAGACTCTTTCCAGTGGTGCCCAGCGACAGGACAAGGGGCAATGGGCACAAACTGAAGCAGAGGAAGCTCCAGCTGAAGATGAGGAAGAACTTCTTCCCTCTGAGGGTGACAGAGCCCTGGCCCAGGCTGCCCAGGGAGGCTGTGGAGTCTCCTTCTCTGGAGATCTTCCAGCCCCGGCTGGACGCGGTGCTGTGCCCCCTGCTCTGGGTGACCCTGCTTGGGCAGGGGGTTGGGCTGGGTGACCCACAGAGGTCCCTTCCAACCCTGAACATTCCATGATTCTGTGTGACAAGTGAACCCTGCTGATGGATGTCTGGAAAATAACCCTGAGACTGGACTGTGGGCTGGGGAGGAGCAGAGCTACCTCGGGCCAAAGGAGATTGTACCTGACCCAGTGACGGAGATTTGCTTCTGTTCTCCTGGTGTTTATGAACAGTAGATACCAGTTTAACAATGATTAGACTGTGCATTAAATGTCTGCTCGTGGAGGAGCCCCTTGCTTCCTTCTCATCTCCCTCTCCTTATTGCCTGTGCACCATTCTTGTTACCAACCGTTTCTTTTTCAATCTTCTGTGCTAAGATGGCTCGGGACTCTTCGTGGTCGTGAGAGCTGGAGCCTCGTCGTTCGTAGTCTGTAAACAAGGGAAGGAGAGAAAAAGATATTTACTGTCAGAGGTTGAAAATGGGCTCCATTAAATGCAGGGACCCGTGGGATGGTAACTCCCAGCTTGGTGCTGAGAGCACCTCCGGAGAGCGCAAAGAGCAGGAGATGATCAAAATTGCCAATTAAATCTTCCCAGGTCACAGCACTTGTGTTGATACGCTGCCTGTTCTCAGATATAAGCAGTGAATGAATTGTGCAGAGCTGCCAGCTACGGGCAGAGACCTGCAAGCCCTGGTCTCCAGCTGCTGTGAGACACCTAACTCCTGCCTGTGACACATCTGAGCTGACTTCTGCCCGCGACGAGCTGAAAGCCGCCGTGGGCACTGCAGAGCACTCCACGTGTGTGTGAAGGGCGTGTAGAGTAACTCCCACCCGCTGTTCTAACCCCAGCTTGCTGCAGGAGCCTTCCTTGTCCCAGAGGTACCAGTTTAACTAAATAGTAGCTGAGGAAGAAGAAATAAGACCGGGAAGTGAATGCAACTGTCACTTGCTCGAAAGCAGCGTGCCAGGAATTCTGCGTGAGTGACGCTTGGGCAGGCCTATGCACAAAGCAGCACTTTTGTACAAACTTGTGTGCAGTCTCTCATGTGTTTTTAATGGGTATTTAAAAAAATCCTCCTGCAATAAAAAAACACAGGCACCTCCCAGCTTCCAGCCCCTCAGTGAGGGGGTGATATTTCAGTGTGAACCATTGCTCGGGTGGCCTCTTGTGAAACGTGTCGGCTCAGTGCAATGGGGTTTGAAAGGGCCAGCATGGCAGGATTGATAAAGTGGGAGATCTGGGGAGGCAGTTTTGGCAAAGGACCACGAAGAATGTACGTCATCTTCAAGTGTTAAGATGAGGCGATTTGTTTTGTAGAAAAAGCAATAAGGCGTGTTTCAAAGGAGAAGCCATCTCAGCAAATGGGCATCATTCAAGGTGTTCTCCTGTCGCCTGCTTTCGTGCCAGGCTCTGTGTTCTGGGATCCCAGAATCCTGCCTGCTTAGATGCTCTGCTGATGTAAGCAACGGACTTGAAGCTTTCTGCTAAGCATCCTGGCAAGGGCAGAGTTAAGGGTGCCCATTTCATTAAAAGCTGCTGTGCCTCAGAGTACAGATGTTTATACACGGTCCAGCTCTTAAATACAGATCTTCTTTTCATTAGGCGAAGCTGGACCTGAAGTAGGCTCTCGGTGCAGGAGGCTGGCACAGCTGCTCGGCTTCAGATCCCGGCCCAGGGAATGGAGTGTCTTCTCTCCTCAGCTGGTGTTCGGAGTTTCTTATAGTATCCTGATTACGTGTTTTCCTTGAACCTTGAAATTAATCCTGAGAGAAGGTGGTACCATAGGCAGTGATAAAAAAGGCTTAAAGTTTGCTTGTCATTTTACTCAGTTTGAGCTTTTGTCAGGCAAAGAGCTTATTTCTGTTACTTCTTTCTTCCAAAGAGGAATGCAAGTTTTCTAAAGCCAGCTCCAATGGGCTGAAGTCAGGATGGCTTTGGAAGAAGATTTTAGATTAGCACACGGGAGAGGTGAGCTCAGATCTGCATTTCCACACTGAACTCTAGGGGAATTCATGCAAACCACTTGATTTCTGAGGGTGAAATCTTGGCTCCTGCGAAGTCAACAGCACCAGGAATTTGCCTTTCTGACCAGGTCGGTCTCGTCTGTATATTTTAAGATCACCAGTGCCTGGTCCAAGCTTCACGTGATTGCTCAGTTTTATGACAGGCCTTCACCTCTTTTGGGAATGTCAGTATCCCCAAAGTACAGGGGTCGTTACAAGGGGTTTGCAGGAGCTTTGATTTGTTGAGCTGCCACTGAGAAGATGCGTATCGCTAGCCCAGTGGGTGGAATTGTTTGCTGCAGGCCAATTTTTAGGCGTTTATAAAGCACAGCCAAAGATGCAACAAAAGGTTGTGCCTTTGGTACATGCCTGTGTTACTTTCTAACAGGGAAAAGACACTGGTCTTCCCTGTGTCCCAGCAATACAGGGCCTGAAATGACCACAGGCCGTTTCAGGAGGGCCGGCTGTCCGGCTAATGAGTCCCTTGTCCCCAGTACCTGGATTGTGCTGGGAAGGGGGTGCCACCCGGTTCCTGTTCATCCCTGAGCCTCGCGTGTCGTGCTGGATCGGGATGGGAGCTGGCCCTTGCGGCGGTGGGAGGATGGATTGCCTCTGCTTGATCTTTTCTTGGTTTGCTCTGCAAGGGAAGCGGCGCAGAACAACCCTGTCAGTGCCTGCTGATCCTGTTTGTGAGACTGATGCGCGAATGCATAGTTGTAAATTTTTTTTACTCCCAGCTGTATCCTGCAGTACTTACTTGAGTGTCTGTGGCCGTATCTTCTTCCCGTGCTTGTGGTCTGCCAGGGCACTTTCTATGTCCTCGTGAACCATCTCCGCCTCAAAGATAAAACAGGGATATTCTTAAAGGCTTTTCTTTGAAAAGGACTGAGGGCAATAAGTGGGCAAAGAAAGAGGGGGCTGGCAGAGAGCTAGGAGCAGGTTTTGTTCTCTGTTTCACACCGGCAAGGAGGGCTCTGCTCACCTCCACCTCGTCGCAGTTGAAGAAGTGGATGTCAGGTTTGTGCTGCTCCGAATCCTGACACACCAGGAGGAGGATGGAGGAATAGCGCATCTGATTCAGCACCGTTTGGCAGTGCTGGACGGTCGGCAGAGGGAAGTCCTCCAGCTCCTCCTGGAAGAGAAAGAGGAAGGGGTCAGGCAATGGGGAACTGATGGGGAGCAGTTCTGTGTATGAACTCCTGGGATCCCTGTTTGAGGAGAGGCCTGGCAGAGCTTGTGCTTCTCAGCAGTGGTTTGCTGGGCTCTTCAAAGATGCATGTCAGGGTTTGGCAGAGGGATGGTGGCTTGGGACTGCAGAATAGGAGAGAGGTGGGTGGCAAACAGAGGTGAGCTCCTGTTCTGCTCTGAGTCCTGAATGAGACCTCAACAACCTGAGCTTTGTTGCTCGCCATCATCTTACTGCTGTGCTTTATTTGTACCAGTACACTGGCCATGCATCCCAGCAGAGCGCTGGGAGGGGCTGCAAGGGGCTTACCCTCCCACTGTCTCCTTGGATGACTTTGGGCCAATATCCTTTAATTTCTCCTTGCTAAAATCAGGGCAGCCCCATCGCTCTCCCGCTGTCTGGCTGTTCTTTCCCCACACACTGGGTGCTCTGTGTGGATGTACGTGTATCACCTGTCAAAATGGGGCACTGTCCTCAGGCAGGTGATCCTGCGTGTTATTTTAATGCAAGTGATACCTCCTTCCCTCTCTGGCTGTTCTTTAGGCAGAGCTCTGTGGACTGGGAAGTCTGCATCGCTCCCACAGAAAGCAGTTTTACTACTGGCCTGGAGCACAGCTCGAGGTATCTTTCACCTGGAGTATCTGTGCTCTGGACCTGTGAATAAATCACCCCCCACCTACCTGCCCTTTGAATTAGCCAGCCCCCGCACACCCAGGAGTGGATTTTGGTAGGAATTCACCCTTCTTTGGGTTCCTTACAAACGGCCCTGCCGGGCAGAGTGGCCCACGCTGCACCCCCTGCGTCAATCTGTGGGTAGCACAGAGCTCTGGGTACCTGTGACTCGCAGTCCAGCAAGCGGATGGACTTGTCGTTCACTTGCAGCAGCATCTCCTGTGTCCAGATCTTCTCTTTTGAGTTGAGCAAAATGAGTTTTCGGATAGCGTCATCCACCGTCACGATGGACTCGCTCTTGTCCATGATGAAGGTGGCCAAGTGCTGAAGTTGGGAAAGGAGGAAAAAACAATTGAGAAAGCTTTGATGATATGAAGTGTAAATCAGTGGTGAAACCACCTCTAAAGGCTGGAACTACTGTTTGTCTGCTCGTTGGGGCACAGGCATGAAAGAGTCGCTGCAGAAGGGGTCTGTTCTGGTTGTTAGTGCCAGCCTGTCCTCAGTGGTGAGAGATGAGGGTTTCATAAAGCAGCAAGGGTTTTCATAGCGAGTTTGCATATTTATCTCTTCATATGTCAGTTCTAGTAGCTCTGGCCCCCGTCCAGCAGTGCGTGTTTGCAAATGCTTTGTCACACGAGTTAGTCCCCTGGCTTGTCTGGAACTGGCTTGGAAGTTTAAATACAGTAGTTAAACTTCACTTGCCAGGATAAAAGCACTTGCATGTCGCCTGTCTCACGTAGAAGATCTCCCTGTGTGGAATTAGTCCCAGGCAAAGAGCTCACACAAGCCGTGGGTTGATGTTAGTCCTCTGTGCTGAGGTGGGATCCGCGCGATGCCTGGGCTTCGGCCGGGTGCCCTGCTCTGGGTGGTCCGACAGGCAGCACGGCTGCACCAGAGAGCTGCTGCGCTGCGAAGCCACCCGGTTTGCAGGGCAGCTCCAGGCCTGGCAGCTGGCTCTGCACCAGCCCTTTAGTCCCCTCGTGTTACCTTCCCCCCAGAAGTCCCCAGAGTGGCCCTCATGGCAGTGCAGGTTGGCCTTGCTGACAGTAAGAAGGGATATTTTGCTACTTGCTTTTTCTGCTCCGTCCTGTGGCTTTGTTAGATTACAGAATCAAAGAATGTTCGGGGTTGGAAGGGACCTCTGTGGGTCACCCAGCCCAACCCCCTGCCCAAGCAGGGTCACCTACAGTAGGCTGTAGAGGACCTTGTCCAGGCGGGTCTTGAATATCTCCAGAGAAGGAGACTCCACAGCCCCTCTGGGCAGCCTGGGCCAGGGCTCCGTCACCCTCAGAGGGAAGAAGTTCTTCCTCATGTTCAGCTGGAGCTTCCTCTGCTTCAGTTTGTGCCCTGGTTTTCCTCGCTCCCTCCACCTGTCCTATAAACCCAGCCTAGTGCTCTGCCTGCTACCAGCCTGCCTTCTGTGCCATCTTCCCCTCTCGGGCTGCCTCCTGCGTGCCCTTGGGCTGGGAGCAGCTCGGATAACGTGGCGACGTCCCAGACATGACTGCACTCGCCTGCCTTCCCATCCAGCCGTGTCCTGAAGCACGGGGTGATCCAAGCCTTGCGCTTGGCACTCGTATTTACAGAGGTTGTGTAACGGAGCTGCCCCTGCAGGCTTTGGACCGCTCGTGGGGCTCCGTGCGAGGGGAGTGCTGGGCTGCGCAGGGAGGCAGCTGCAGGCAGAAGTGTGGTGCCTGCCCAGCAGCCGGTGAAGGCCACTCCAGAAATCCAGGTAACTTATCTCCAGCCTGACCAGCAGCCAGTGAGAGCGAGCACTGCGCTCTGTGGGTGGGGAGAAGGTGTGTCTGCCAGCAGAGGGAACTGCAAGGCAGGAGAAGGCTGGAGCAGCCAGGCAGTTGTCCTTGTGCGAGTGACAGCACAGCCAGGCCTCGTGTTCAGGTGACAGCAGGGCAGGGGAAAAAATTCAGGAAGGACGACAGGTTAACCATGAGCCGGCAGCCCTGGCTGCCAAGAAAGCCAATGGAATCCTGGGGTGCATCAAGAAGAGTGTGGCCAGCAGGACGAGGGAGGTTCTCCTTCCCCTCTACACTGCCCTGGTGAGGCCCCATCTGGAGTACTGTGTCCAGTTCTGGGCTCCCCAGTTCAAGAAAGATGAAGAGCTACTGGAGAGAGTCCAGCGGAAGGCTACGAGGATGATGAGGGGACTGGAACATCTC